GTGTCAACAACTCAGCTTCCAATTACACCGCCTTCCAGGTCTTATTGAACAGTCTCCAAAATTGGGCCACCAACAACCACGTCACCATCAACCATACCAAGACCATGGTTATGCACATCAACCTCTCCTCTGAAGTTATCCCACCTCCCTCCATTACTTTGGGCCCCAACAACCTCCAGGATGTGGACTCCACTAAGCTCCTCAGCATAGACAACAAACTAAACTGGAAAACACACATCAGTACAGTTGTCAAATCCTCCAGTTTTCGTCTCCACCTCCTCCGCCGACTCAAGTCCCTCGGAGTTACTACGTCTGAGCTCCTCCCAAAATGCCACACAATGTAAACACATAGAAAAAGTGCAAAAGAGGGCATGCAAGATTTTCTCTCCTCTTCCTACACCACATATCATGAAGCATTCAACACACTGACCTTTTCAGCTCTCTCTGACCATCACCACAACATCATCTGAAAATTTGGTGAGAAGTTTCTGCACCACCCTCTACACCGGCTCCTACTTCCACCCAAGATCCCTCATCCATGAATTGCTGTTCGACTGCACAACCGCATCCAGCCCATACGAGCATGTTCTAATTGCTATAAGAACAACCCAGTCCCAACCCTCCTCCTCCTGCTGCTGCTGCTGCTGCTCAAGAAGAACTACATAAAATAATCGAGGAAGGCAGCTACTTGTCCACTCAAGTTTTTAATACTGATGAAACTGGACTATCTTGGAAGAGAATACCTTCCCAGACATTTATTTCCATGGAAGAAAAAGCTGCGCTGAGATTCAAAGTAGCCAAAGATCCTCTTTGGTGGTAATGCAAAAGGTGACTTTAAACTCAAACCTATCACTCTAAAACCCTAGAGCATTCAAAGGTGTGTATAAACATAATTTACCAGTTACTGTATCTGGTGGTCAAACAGTAAAGCATGGATGATAATAACTCTTCACGTTGATTGATTCCAAAATATTTTTTGGCCAGCATTAATGGAAAACTGTGCCAAGAAAAACATGACACAAAAGGCACTGATTATATTAGATAATGCTCCAGGCCACCCAGCTTTCCTAAATGAATTGTCTGAACAAGTACAAGTTGTTTCTCTTCCACCAAATACCACGTCCATGCTTCAACCTATGGACCAAGGCATTATATCATCATTTAAGGCCTATTATTTATGCCGTGCCATGTCTCAACTGATTGAAGAAACAGACGCTGCTGGAAAGTCTTCCATAAAAGAATTTTGTCATGGATACCATCTTCTAAAAACTGATAAAAACATTGGAAATTCATGGAAGGAAGAAACAGAAGGGTATGTGGAGGAAATTATGGCTGGAATGTGTAAAACCTTCAAAGGTTTGGAGGAAATCATGCCAAACAATCATAAAAATATTGTTGAGCTTGCCTAGCACATTGTAGGATTTGAAGAGGTTGATGAGGAGAATGTTCAGGAACTATTAAACAGTCACGGAAAAGAACCTAACTAATGAAGAACGTGTGCAACTTGATATGAGCACGACCGGACCACAAACACATCAACAGATACCCCTACCTCATCACACAAATGTATGACTAAGCATTTGGCAGAAGCATTTGCTCACATGGAGCGAGCAATGAACATCTTTTCTGAAGTGGATCCATTAACAGAACGAATCATTAAAATTAACAAGGACGAGAAAAATGCATATGATCCCTACATAAAGATTTATAATGAGAATAAGAAAGCAGCTGTGCAAGGTTCTTTAGACAATTTTAATATAAGAAGGCCTAAACTATCAACATCAGCTACATCTACACCATCAACTTCAGCTACAGCATCAGTACAGTTACAGCTTCAGCTTCAACTTCAGCTACAGCATCAAATTCAGCAGCAGCTTCAGCAACAGCTACAGGTTCAGTAACAGCTTCAGCAACAGCTATGGCATCTTCATGAAAAGCTACAGCTTCAGCCAGAGTTGAACCTAATGACTTACCGTAAGAACTTTGTCATCTGAGCAAAAACTCACACAACATCATTGGGTGTAGTTATTTTTTCAACTGTACCACCATTGGTGAGTAGATTTTTTTTTAATCCAGAAGCATTAATTAAAACATATATGAACAGTATTAGGTGTTGCTTTCATATTCTTACGTAGAGAAATGATGATATGTTTTCACATGTATACACTTACATATGTTGGTGTTGCGCAGTCTCGCCTTTTTTATTTGCCATTAGTGGTTAGCTATGTCTATTGTTCCAATTATTAACATTAAATAAAATTGCTTAAAACATACATATTATTTTTTTACATTAATTTTACTACAGCTACAACCAGGGTCTTATTTTCTTCAGTTTCATATATAGAACCATCGTCACAGGTGTAAACACTAACGAAAACAATGCCATCTCGTCTCCTCTTGTGTGACTACATATTATTATTGATTTATACAGGATTGTATAAGGTGCATTACTAACCATTATTTAAAGGATGTACTTTTTATTTTTCATTAATTTTCTTTTTTGGGGGAAAAGAGGTAAAAAAAACCACACACCATAAATGAAAAGGTCACACTAGAGAATGCATCTAATTATTTTTGCTTTATATTAATGGTAATTAATGTCATGATACAACGATTCACCTTACAGTGCAATATTGGAGGACACATTACTGTCATTATTCGAGGCTTTACTGTACTGTAATCTCTGTAAAGTGTTATACATAACCACAGCATTTGTCTTATGAATATAGAGAAGACGGTATACTGCACAGTACTACAAAGATAAAAAATATAAAAAATAATTGTAGGGATATACTGAGAGTGATCTGAGAGCAGCAGGTGGGGGAGGTAGTGCGGGTGGATGGCTCCCTCCCCCTCTCTTCCCCAAGATGCCTTGAACACGTCTTTATGCAATTTCACCATAATTCTCATATAATTTAGGATCATTTGATGCCAATTTGATAAAATATTATGATTAAAGAATAAAGAATCACCTTTCCTGAAAAAAGAATCCCACACTAAACATCATGACTCGTTTACACTCATGCTTACCACGACATGTCTTCTGCAGTTAGTAAATTAGTACAGTACTGTAGTGTATTTATCAGCACTTAATAAGTAATATTGTAGTGTACAGTATTATGCATTTGCATAAAGACAGATGCAAGGCCTCTATGTGTAAAGAGAAGATTTGAAAATATGGAAGTAAGAGTTTTATCTGGAGGGATTGCAAAGTAAGAAAGTTGGTAGTGTGGTTGACCTGGTGATCAGTTACTCAACACAAAATATTTTAAAGGTAGGAATGCATATACAGTGACCCCTCGGTTAATGAACTCAATCCATTCCAGAAGGTCATTCGTTAACCGAAACCATTGTTTCAGTGGGTTTTTGGGTAATTGGTTCCAGCTCACCGAAAATGTCCTAAATTCAACAAAAATGGTAGAAAAGTTCACTTACTTTGAGGTGTGTATGTAGAAGGCTCCTGGATGATGATGATGATGGGAATTAGAATGGGGGTGGAGGAGAAGGAAGAAGAGAAGGCATTGGGGTGGAAGAGAAGTCACCCCATGGCACCATTTCACCCATAAAATTTTAGTTCTCTTGGTGTATTTCAAGATTATTTTCTTTAAATCAACACTGCACTGCATTATATATTGTCAATATGTAAAATATATTTCAAAATGACCAATAATTTGCTTGGAAACAGAAAAAAAGCATTTAGTTGAAGAGAGTCACAAGCAAGATGTTACCTCCAGTGAAAACAGAGAGAGACTAACGCCTGTTTGCTGTGTTAAGAGGCTGGATGCCGCGCATTAAACTAGTCACTTTACCTTCAATTATGTTCAATAATTGTTAAAATGACTAAAAAATTGAATATTGAACTTTTAAAATTATTGAATAATATAAACTTCTTGATATTTACTAAAATAGTAAGGAATTTAAGCCCTAGAACCGATTAATGTATTGGCGGACTGATACTAAAGCTGGTTGCCTGGTCAGTGCAAGCGAAAACATGTTGAGGTCGGTTCGTAAGAAATTCGTTAACCGAATTTTTGTTAGTTAACCGAATTGAAGATCCTTATGGAAGGCAGTTCGTTAACCGAAATTTCGTTAACCGAGGCGTTCGTTAAACGAGGGGTCACTGTATAGATGTTAATATTTATGGTACAAAAACAAAGTCAAATATATTTAACTGAGGCACTTATACCCCTGCCTTAGGTGACATCTCTATATTTATTACAATTATTGGAAAGTCTGGCCAATAAACATTAAGTCATCAAAACACAATGACCATATGTAAAATTTACACAAAATATAATTTACCTTATTTAATCATTTACCTAAGCACAAGGGGCACTGCCAACTATTGACTCTCTCTCTCTTATATCAGTTCACCAACACTGACTAACCTAGACTGGCTCTGGGTTTAGACTGCCTTGAACCTCTACCCATGGGTTGCTACCGAGGGCCACTACTTGTCAGTCTCTCCCTCTGGACTGTTGCCATGATGGTATTTATTCCAATTTCCAAGGACACTCAACATTGTGATGCATTCAAAGTCCACAGCATCATGGTCATGTGAGTGTAGCAGTTGTATGACAGCAGCCACATGACCAGGTCATGAATAATGTGTTGTGAACATCTCTTTATTTAATGAGGTATATGCAATTTGTGTACTTCTGATACATGATTTGCCTTTCTCCTTAGCTACTAGTCTTATCACCTCTGACCAGCATTAATAATATACATACTGTATATGACAGCTACACTTTACTTGTGATTTTTTCATTGATTAACTTAGATAATCACGGCTATTGCAGCATCCTGCCAAGACCAAGATTACATCAAGTGAACAAAGCACAGTGAAAAAGCAGTAGTCTGTGACAAAGTAAGTACACTGTGTTTTGCTCACTTGACGTAATCTTGGTCCTGGCAGGAGCCGGGGAGGGAATAATATAGATGTCCCTCTCACATAATTATAATGATCATCGTGACACAAAACCAAAAAATATAATACATACATATGACCATTGACGCAGCAGCAGCCTTGAGTCTATAAAGTCGATACTGCAAATTATTTTCAACTAGATTCCATCCCATCATCTGGTATAGTAGTAATTGGCCCAAAAATCCTGAGTTAGGACCAACACATCGCCTCCTTGATTTCACTCTGAAAAGGTATACAAAAGTTTTTACTTTTCAGTAAAGTACAGGTATTTGTTATAACTTCTAACCTGAAAAAGAGATATGACTGATATAAAATCCATTTTTATGACCATGGAGAAGAGAGAAGTGATTTACAAGTTCACCCATCAAAACAATCCTTAACAGAGCCTGCCTGGATCAGGGTCCTGTATGCAGTCTTGAGGCACATATACTCTCTATTCAGATATATGCAGGCTACAAACATTTATTTACCCAGTTAGAGAAGGGTTTATAATACATTCTTCAACCTTCACTCAGTAGTAGTTGTTTTAAAAGGCTGAACATTAATAGATAAAGTCCACAAGAAAAATCTTCAATAAGACAGCCGTGAGTGTAGATCCTGGGTGTGGAGATGCATCCCTCTTACTATCAGGTTTGGGAATTTCCTATATGATCACCACCCCCTAAAATTCATGTAATTTAGAATAAAAAAAAATTACAACTTTTATACTATAGTCTCTATCATTTTTGTTTTGCTAATTAAGATTTTTTTTTTTTTTTTTTTTTTAATTTATTGGGCACCCCTTACATCCTTGTGTAAGATGAAGTGCAGAAGCGTTTACAGCGCCCAACAGGGAAGCATACTAAGTTCATGCTTGCCTTATGTCTCACGAGTTAAGGGCGTAGAAGCCTGAAAAGTCAAGGGCGTAGAAGCCTGAAGAGTCAGTAGTTTATGTCATCAAGTTATTGGAAGCTCCAACGACTCCCTGAATACGAATTCACAACTTTCAACTTACAACAGGTACCTTCAACTTACAACAAGTACCTACTTTACTGCTAGGTGAATAGGGACTAATGGGGGCTAAGTAAGTCCATATTTAAGAATCATTCTGAAAGATAGTCTGAGGTCAATATATACAGCGTGCCTTCAAATTCGCACTGATTAGGTTTTCAAAATGGCCGCGAATCGCCAAATCAGCGAAGTAACATTTGCTGGCCCGAGGGGGGGGGGGGGTTTACATTCAATTGTGCACAAAGAAATGTATATTCCCTTTATGAGTTTGCACTTAAAACAATTATTTATTTTACCTGTATTGTGTATACAATAGTCCCTTGGTTAAAAAACACAATTCGTTCCACAGAGACATTCGTTAACCGAAAATTTCGTTAACCGAATCCAATATTTCAATGGGATACAATATTGGGTAACTGCTTCCAGCTCACAGAAAAGTACAGTATAGTCTGGATTTACGCGGATTTCCTCAACGCGTTTGGTCATTTACGAGGCACCTGGCCAGCCAGGCAATTAATAGTTACGTGATACATTCCATCATTTACGCGGGAAGCGGCACGGGCAGGGTGCGCACTAGGTCGCCCAGTCAAGAAAACATAACTGAATTCTTCACCCGCCACCTACCACAGCTGGCCCAAGTCAGTGATAGTGTGGATATGGACTTTGAGGGGTTTGACAAAGAGGCCCTGCAAGCCTCTGTGGTGGATAGTGATACAATTGATACAAGTGATACAGATGAGGGCCAATAATCTGCCCTCTGCCTCGGAACCAGCCCCCCATCCCCGTGTGCCCAGCCATCTCTTCTACTAACATAAGAGTTAAAAACCTAATATTACTGATATTTCTCTTAAATATTAATTGTGTGTGCATATCATCATAAAATTAAGATGTTATTTTTACTACAACGTACGTATTGTGTCTCGTGAAGTATAAATTGTTCATTTACTTGAGATTTTTGCTTTTAGCTCAAAAAATTCATAGAAATTTCCCAGCCAGAATATAATTTACAATGCTGGAATTCTTATAAGATAGTGATTAATTTGAGTATAAACAAGATATAGCTCGCAATAGACATACACATTTTAGATCTAACTTTAGAATTTTATCAGAGAGAGCAACAATTTTATCTTTTGTGCAAAATATATGATGTTTATAATCAAATTATTTGCTGTCTCACAAGGAATCCAGCAATGTAAATTATATTCTCTTAACTTTAGTCTGCGGTATTATTTATTACTAAACTTGTAAGCCTAGTTCTTTTCCCTAAACATTTCTCGGGAAGGTGGGGGGTAGGGAGGTGGGGAGAGAGGGAGCCAGCAAGCTTGGGAAGATGCTATTTTTACTACAACTTACATATTGTGTCGGAAAAAAGGTAGTCTGGGGTCAGCCCAGTCTCTATTTCAATTAATCCCATATGTTCTGTTATTTTGTTTACAAGTTTCTCATTTTACGCGGACCTCCACGGGTTCAATTGACCGCGTAAATCCAGACTATACTGTACATACAAAGTAAAGCGAAAAACGCATAAAGTCAGAAATGTATAATATGGACACGAAGTAGTACCTTAAGCTATTAAATATGTACAGTGACCCCTCGTTTAACGAACGCCTCGGTTAACGAAATTTCGGTTGACGAACTGCCTTCCATAAGGATCTTCAATTCGGTTAACGAACAAAAATTCGGTTAACGAATTTCTTACGAACCGACCTCAACATGTTTTCGCTTGCACTGACCGGGCAACCAGCTTTAGTATCAGTCCACCAATACATTAATCGGTTCTAGGGCTTAAATTCCTTACTATTTTAGTGAACATCAAGAAGTTTATACTATTCAATAATTTTAAAAGTTCAATATTCAATTTTTTAGTCATTTTAACAATTATTGAACATAATTGAAGGTAAAGTGACTAGTTTAATGCGCGGCATCCAGCCTCTTAACACAGCAAACAGGAGTTAGTCTCTCTCTGTTTTCACTGGAGGTAATATCTTGCTTGAGACTCTCTTCAACTAAACGCTTTTTTCTGTGTTTCCAAGCAAATTATTGGTCATTTTGAAATATATTTTACATATTGACAATATATAATGCAGTGCAGTGTTGATTTAAAGAAAATAATCTTGAATTACACCAAGAGAACTAAAATTTTATAGGTGAAATGGTGCCATGGGGTGACTTCTCTTCCACCCCAATGCCTTCTCTTCTTCCTTCTCCTCCACCCCCATTCTAATTCCCATCATCATCATCGTCATCCAGGAGCCTTCTACATACACACCTCAAAGTAAGTGAACTTTTCTACCAGTTTTGTTGAATTTAAGCAATTTTCGGTGAGCTGGAACCAATTACCCAAAAACCCATTGAAACAATGGTTTCGGTTAACGAATGACCTTGTGGAACGGATTGAGTTCGTTAACCGAGGGGTCACTGTATATTAAAGTATTACAGAACATGTATTAATCCTATGTAATATTTCCATTTGTTATGCACCACGTTATGTATGTGAATTATCATATTTACATATTATGTATTCAGCTTGTGAATGCTGGTATCTGTACATTCCAGTGCGGAGTGATACAGAGAGTTGAGATCACTAGTCCTTATGGTGTGGAAGCCCACTGTCTATTTGTCCCTCTGTATATCTCCCGTACGAGAATAAGAACCTATTTTCAAGATAACAAGTTTTTGTGTATACCCTCAGTGGTGTAGAACATTTTAGGGGTATCAAAGACAAACATAGATGGCGCAGTGAAATTTCTCAGTGAGATTCAGAGTCAATTCAGCCTTACCGCCGGACTGTGTTAATGGCGTCTCGTCTTCAGCTTCGCCAAGGATTTACAGCCAGACTACAAGCCTCATGACATACAGTGTTGTGAAGTGCTATGCTGTGTACAGTACTGTTCTGTGAAGTGCTGTGTTGTGAATTTTAATCAGAATTGTCTGTGCAAACTGCAGTCAGATGACTCAGGGAGCGGCCCAGCAGTACGTCCCCTCCCGCCTACGGTCATTGGGTAACTGAGCAGCGCGCATTAAGACAACTTCGGTTCGCTTGCGACTTGTGCCCAGCTGCCTCTACGTCTGGCAGTGCGTCAAGCCTCCTGGCAACAACCCATACACACACACACACACACACACGCACTCACAGGCCCACTTTATATTAAATTCTTACGAATTACTTTAGACTTCTGTAATTCTGTGCATAGATTACGAGGGGTTGACCCGGTCTCTTCCACAGATAGAGCACAGAAGCTGTCGCATGTCTCACAGGGATCAAAATGATACCCTGGACGATGGGGTTATGAGTTTAAGTTTGGAAGACCTGTCCCCACTCACACTCAGGCCCCACGCTCCCCACAGTGACAACGCCCAATCACCCACAGAATCTCCTTGTTCGTCGCGAGCAAGCTCTCCTGCGGTGCCTGCGTCCAAAGATCTCTTTCAACTGATTAAGTGGATGGAAAATTCTCGACGCCAGGACTATGTTGCAAGGAGAGAAGAGGAAGAAATTAGATACAGAGAGTCTGAAAGACGAAGCCACGAAGATGAACAAAGACGCAGAGAACTAGAAGATATACGTAGAAGTGAGGATGACCTGAGAAGAAGAGAGAATCAAGCCAAATTTGAAGTCTTGATTTCCCTGTTAGCCTCCCCACAACGATCTACTCTACAAGATTCTTCTGCTACTACTAATGCTGATACGACTAGAGGTACTGGTACCTCATTTCCCATAGTCGGTTCAACAATTCCTCAAAAGGCTGCAGCACAAACGCCTCCCTCTCTGAAGTCTGACGCTTCTTATCAGAAATTTCGGGAATGGCGTCGACGTTGGCAAGACTATGCAACAATGGTTGACCTGTCAAGTTTACCACAGCCTAAACAGATGATACAGCTTCGTATGTGCCTGTCCTTAGAGACACAACATACTCTCGAGCACACACTTCAAGTGCCTCCTACGACAACTCTGACTGTAGAGGCCGTGCTTGACAAGTTACAGGAACATGTTAAGGGACAGCTCAACGAAGCACTTAGAAGAAGAGAACGCCTCCAATGTAAGCAGCTTGATGGAGAATCTTTTGATGCATTTTTTGTAAGACTGAAAAGATGTTCAGAGGAAGTTGATGTTTGTCCTGGAAATTCTCAAGTCTGTGAAGAGACACAACTCAAGACAATTATTTTAACGGTATTCGAGATGAAGAGCTAGTTCAGCGTCTCATTTCACTTGACCCCACTTCCTCCCTTCA